TAGGCCACCACACCTGGGTCAGATTGGTAAGTTCAGGAGCTCCTGCCTTGGGGCAGCCAGGGCTGGGCCTTTGGTCTTCCTTATCCCCACCTTGGTCCCTTTGTCCAGCTTTTGGGCTTTGCATGCCTGTGGCCGTAGATGGCACTGCTGGCCCTCCGCCCGCCTGGGCTGCTCTTCCCCTAGGGTTCCACGGCCCCCTCACCTCCTGTGTCAGGTTTGTCTTCTCCACCCAGCTGTCTCCAGAGCGCCAGACTTCTCTCATCTGATGTCTTAACCTCACAATAATAGATCTAAAGCTGATCTTATCTCCCAGCCTGACTTTTCACCCCTTCATACTTGCCTGTGCTAATAAACTTTGGCGTTGAAGCCAGCTGTGAGGACCCAGCCCACGAGAGGCTGAGGCCGGAGGATCCCTGGGAGTCTGAGGCCAGCCTGAACTACAGGGTGAGATGCTGCCTCAAAAAACAACAAACAAAAAACCCACGGGCATTTCTTCTATCCTCATGGCGGGAATCGTGTCGTCACAGGCTGAGTGCCCTATAGACCTGCAGAGAAGATCCCTTCTGCCTCCTTGTGCTCCCTCCCAGTGGCTTTCTAGCAATCTCTGATGTTCCTCCGGGAGCAAACAGGTAGTCCCCCGAGCCCCTGCCTTGCTGTGGCTGTCTTCCTCCTGGGTCTCTGTAGTTGCCTTTTCCCGGAGCCTTTCTGTGGCCCAGTCTTCCTCTTCCCTCTCTTTTTGTGGTGCTAGGGATGAAGCCCAAGGCCTTATGCTGAGCTCCAGCTCCAGCCTTCCTTACTTTGTCTTTTGAGGTTTGGGGACAGATGTTCCCCAGGTCACCATGATGCCAGGTTGGAACTGTGCTGGAGTTCTGCCTGCCTCGGTCTCCCAAGGGCTGGACAACAGGTGTGGGCCACCACCAGGCTGTGGTGGATTTCCAGGAAGGCTGAGCTCACTCTCTGAAATCCGACTCCAATCTGAGGTTTGCTTAAGTCCTACCTGGCAGACTCACTAGCAGATCTGAATCTAAGCTAATTAGTTCATTTCGGCAGTACAGCCTTTTTAGTTTTGTGTCTTGAACCTGAGGTAAAGCTGGGCCTGCACTTCAGATCCTCCTGCCTCAGCCTCGCAGACGTGTCACCTTTGTCGTCGTTAGTCTCTGTGCTGCTGGATGAGGACAAGCTTTGTAAGTGGAACTCCTCCAACTTTCAACATCCCCAGTGCACTGCCAGCTTGGGCTGCCCACACAGCCCTGCACAGGGCTGTCATATTGAATGACATTATGCAATTTTCCAGATGTGTAGAAATATAGTAAACAGCCAGGTGCACACCTGTCACACACCTGTGGCACACACCTGTCATACAGTCTCTTGGGAGGCTGAGGCAGAAAGGTCAAAGGGAGTTTAAAACCCAACCTGGGCTAAACAGTGAACTTAAGCCTGGCTGAACTACAAAGGGAAATGGTGCCTCAAAGAATAAAAACAAAACAAACAAACAAAAAAAAAACAACAAAAAAAAACCCCCAAACAAACCAAACCAAACCACAACAACAACAAAAAAATAGACCAACCAACCAACCAAAATAAACCAAATAAACAAACAAGGAAAAGACGTAGCAAATAGAACAGGGCCTGATGGTTCATCTATGTTAGAACCCATGTAGAAATTTCTCTTTTTCTTTTCTGGAGGATATTTTGGAGATGGAATGCAGGGAAGCCCCTGCACTAGGCTGTCTCCTCAGTCCTTCTTAGGCTTTTTATTCTGAGACATGGACTGGCTAAATTGCCCAGGCTGGACTTGAGCTTGCAACCCTCTTACCACAGCCTTCCCAGCAGCTGGGATTATTGGAGTACACCAGCGAGCCTGGATTTTTCTGTTCTTGTTCTATTCCATTCTTGTGATGTATCCCACATTGTTCCTCCAATCACATGTTGATTAAAAATGAGCCCAGTGTGGAGGTGCAAGCCTGTAACCCCAGCAACTTGAGAGGCTGAGGCAGGAGGATCGTCACAAGTTTGAGGCCAACCTGGACTACAGAGTGAGTTCAAGGCTGGCTTGAGATGCATAGTGAGATCCTGTATCAAAAAAAAGTTCATCAACTGCTTTATTTGTTTGTTTGCCTGCTAGGCATGGTGGTGCCTGCCTATAGTCCCCGTCTGGGAGGCTGAGGCAGAAGGATCAAAATTTTGAGACCAGTGCCATGCAGTGACTTAGTGAGACTATATGTCAAAATAAAATTAGTCTGCAGTAATTATAAACTTCCCCCAGAATGGCACTATCAGCCCAGGGGGCTACAGGATGTAGCCTGCTAGAGCACATGCTTAGCGGGTGTGCAGCCCCTAGTCCCATCCTCAGCAGCAAAAAAACTAAAATCAAATAAATGAAAATAAGAGGCTAGGGACATAACTCAGGGCTAAGGCATGCGCTTAGAATGTGTGTGACCCTGGCCCCATCCCCAGGGTTGTAGCAGATAAAGAGCAAATGAAGAAACAATGGCAGCCAGCCACCCCAAATCTCTCCAGCGCGACACCTTATGTAACCGCGTAATTTCAAAACCAGAGCATGTGCACTGTTGCTATCTGTAGCTGAGCCCGCCTTCCAGCAGCTTCGCCCGCCCGTGGCTTCCTGTGTTTGCACCATCGCATCCCCCTGCACAGATTTGTGCAGCTGGGGCTGGATGACAGAGCCTCAGAAAGGGTTTTTTTTTTTTTTTTTTTTTTTTTTTTTTTGGCACCAGCATTTGAGCTCAGGAGCCGGTGCTTGTCAGGCAGGCGCTGAGCAACATCCCAGATCCCCCCGCCTGTCAATTTGTCTTAAAGATGAAACTACAAGCCTTCCAGTAATGAAAAGCGGATAGGACCTGCCAGGCAGAGAGCTGGCTTTAAAGAGAAATAGGCTGCAAACAACTAAAGTCACTACTGCTACCTGGATATTGCTGCCTGCCCAAAGGAGATGCAGTGTGCCTTTAGAGGAGTCCCGTGCTTCTTCCTTGATTCCCCCCCAGCACTTGTGTTGGGTGAGGTGGCCCATGCTGGTAGTCCTAGAAGTTAGGAGGCTGAGGCTGGAGGATCCCTGAGTTCAAGGTCAGCCTAGGCAGCCCCGTGGGACTATGATTCAAAAAACTAAACTGAACTAAACATACTTGCCTTTAAAAAAAAATTAGTATAAGTTTGCAGTACATAATAAGTACTTTCATATAAGCCTGTATTTAAAAAAAAAAAATTTTTTTTTGAGACAGGGTACTATTCATTTGCCTCCTGCCATATCTTCCTGAGTAGCTGAGATCACAGGCAAGCACCACCATGCCAGGATTGCTGAAAGGTTTTGTCCAATGAGTTGGTCTAAAATGTCTCAGCTTTGAAAGAGCCTTTCCAGCTACCGAAAGGGAGGAGTCAGCCTCTCCTCTCCATAGCAACACGGCTTTGAATGCAGATCCCTCTGTCCCCAGAAGTCACCTGCTGAGAGGACACTGTAGCTGACAGTGTATCTTCCCAAAAGCAAGCTGGGCCTGGTGGCGCACGCCTGTCATCCCAGCTTGTGGGAGGCTGAGGCAGGAGGGTCACTGAGAGTTTGAGACCAGCCCAGGCTACATAGTGAGTTCAAGGGCAGCCTGAGCTGCACAGCGAGACCCTGTCTCAAAAAAAAAAAAAAAAAAAAAAAAAAAAAAAAAAAAAAAAAATCCTTAGCAGCTACCCTAATTACTCCCATTTTAGAGTTGGGGAAAGTAAGGCTTAGGAGTAATGTGGCCTGCCTTATGCTGCCACTTACTGGCTGTTGGAGCTTGGAAAAAGTGGAATGACATTCCTAGGCCTTTGTAATATTTTGTTTTGAGGCGGGAATTCATTAAGCCACTGAATCGCCCAGGCTGGATTTGAACTTGTAGTCCTCCTGCCTCAGCGTCCTGCATGCTGGGATTGCAGGCCTGCGCCATCACACCCACTCGAAGAGCATTTCTTTTGTTTTTGTACCTGGAGTCGAACTCAGAACCTTGTGTTTGCCAGGCAGGCGTTTGTGCTGCTGAGCTATATTGCCAGCTCTCATTTATTTTTACTAACTACTTCTTTTTTCTTCTTTTTTTTTTTTGAGACAAGGTCTCGCTATGTAATACAGGCTGGCCTCTAACTAGAAGTGATCCTCCTGCCTCACCTTCCCAAGTACTAGAATTACAGATGTGCACTACTGTGCCTGCCCATCCCCCAAAATAAATTGGCTGCGAGATATCGTCCCGCTAAGTCTCCATGTTGCCCAGGCTGGGCTTAAACTTGAGATCCTCCTGCCTCAGCCTCCCAGAGTCCTAGGGTAACAAGCGTGTGTCACCATGCCCAGCACACATGTGGTCTTGGCCCCTAAGAGAGATGCCTTCAAGCCAATCCGTCTTTCCCTAGCACCACAGGGAGGGGTGAATGACGGGAGAATGACGGGGCCAGTTTGCTTAGCGCAGGGCTCCAGGGGCCTAGACCAGATCCTGATAGCAGAAGTGGTGAGGGGCTTGGCGTGGTACCCAGGCGGCCAGGCCCAGGAGTTAAGAGCCTGGGTCCCTCGCTGGGCGTGGTGGCGCACACCTGTAATCGCGGTGTCTGGGGGGCTGAGGTGAGAGGATCACTGTGAGCTCAAGGCCAGGCTGGGCTACAGGGTGCAATACTACCTAAAAAACATACAAAAAGATCCCAAGTCCCTGCCAGCCTGGTGGCTGCCACCAAATCCCTGGCCTGGGTTAGCTGTCACGCAGGGACAGTGATGGCTCTGGCCTCAGGGGATGCCCTTGCAAAAGCAACCAGCACTCCAACTCCTGCTCCTGGAGAGAGCCGGGCTGTGGCCTCCTCCCCGCCCGGCTCCACCTCACCTGAGCTGCCAGCGTCCCTGGTGCAATTGGGGAGCCGCCCGGCAGGTTTGTCCTCTCCCCGCCTCACCTGGGCAGGGGCTCCTCCCAACCAGGCGGGCGCCCTAACCTGCCGGGCTGTGCCAGGCGCAGTGAGCAGGCGGCCGGCACTAGGCGAGGACCATGCCGAGCATCCTGGCTTACCAGAGCTCCGAGGTGGACTGGTGCGAGAGCAACTTCCTGTACTCACCGCTGGTAGCCGAGTTCTACAACACGGTGAGCCGGGCAGGTGGGCAGTGCCGGGGGAGAGGGCCGCAGGAAGCTCTGGGAAGTGGACTCAAAGCCCAGCTCCTCCTTCCTTATCCTGGCTAGGGAATCTCGCTGGATCAGTTCTGCTATCTGCTGCTCAGCCCACTCACCAGCCACGCAACGGTGACTGTCTCTCATTCATTCATTTGTCTTTATCGGGTACAAGTACTGTGACAGGCTTTGGATACATAGCAGTGGCCCATAATCTATCCAGTGTGGAGAACATAGATATGCAAAACCCAGGTGGATGATGATGTAATAGCAGGTGCACAGGCAATTCTGGAGAGACCCGAGGAGGTTTCTGAGTCAGGCTCGCTGGAGAGGTAACTGTGTGTGCCTTCTCCCCTGCTGGAGTTCCAGCCCAGGATGACTAACTCATCCCAGTTCTCCTTCCCCCGCCTGTTAAAAAATTGAGACAGGGTCTCCCTGCTTGCTTGCTGTATTTCTTAAATTATTATTTAATTATGCTAGAGATTGAGCCCAGGGATTTACACGTGCTAGGCAAGTGCTTCACCACTGAAGTGCCTCGTCTCCAGCCACTGTACACAGGTGTCTGTATAATCCAGGCTGGCCTGAAACTTGTGATCCTCTTGCCTCAGCCTCCCCAGGGGTGAGAAAGTCAGGGGTGGTGGTATGTATCTGTAATCCCAGCTGCTCAGGAGGCTAGTCCAAAGGCAGCCTGGGACATTTAATGACTTAGCAAGAACTCGAAATGAAATTGAAGAAGGGATGGGATAGGGCCAGTGAAATAGCCCAGCAGATTAAAGTGCCTGCTTAGGCAAGCTTAGGCAAGTACAGGGACTGTGGTTCAATCCCCAGCACCATATGCCGTGCCAGCCCTGCCCCCAGGGTGGGTTGAGGCAGCCACAGAGTCTGGGCATAGTGGTGCGTACCTGTAATCCCAGCACTGGGGAGTCTGCATGCAAGAGGATCACCACAAGTTCTAGCTGTGTAGTGAGACCCTGCAACAACTAAATACATAAAAAATAAATAAATAAATAAATAAATAAATAAATAAATAAACTTCTTTAAAGAAAGGGATGGATGTAGGTCAGTGCAAAGCCTGTAGTATGGAAAGGGCGGACTCTGTCAGGCTGCCCGGGGTTGCTCTGAGACCCTGTGACCTGCGACCTAGTGGCTCCCCAGACCTTTGAGAGTGAGACCCCGGGCCCCTCCTGTCCCTGGAACTTGCTCCTCTTGGCTGAAGATGCCATTTCTGGTCCTTAGAGGTCGTCGTCAGGGGCTGAGCCAGGCAGCCTTCTCTCCATGGTCCAGAGCGCCTTCTGTTCTGCCCCCTCCCAATGAGGCCCCAGGAGCCCCGGGAGGATGGACTGGGGCCAGCTCAGCAGCAGCCTGGCCAGGCTTGGCCACACTCACACGCCCACCTCACAGGATCCCCTGTCACCCGTGGGAGACGCAGCAGGTCAGGCAGTCCATGCAGACATGGTCAGATCCCACACTTAAGTCAGGCCCTGTGACAGGAAAGAGAGTTTACGTTATCCCAAGGACCTGCACTGCCAGGCACCGATCGAATGTTTCGTAAACCAATCTTTATCTTTTGTGGTGGGAATGGGTTTGGATCTCTCTTGTTTTGTTTGGTGTTTTGAAACAGGTCTCACTATGTAGCCCAGGCTGGCCTGGAACTCATGGCTAACCTCCTGCCTCAGCCTCCTGAGTGCTAGGACGACAGCTGTGTATCACCCTGCCCAGCTAGACCTGGATCTTTCTTATCAAAAAGGCTCTACCTCGGCCTGCTGGGGCGGTTGATGACCCTAGTGTTTGGGGAAGTTGAGGCACAAGTTTCACCATGAATTTGAGGCCAGCCTGGGCAAGTTAGTAATTTAGCAAGACCCTGATGCTAGCAAACAGAAATAGCTGGGGATGTGACGCACTGCAAGAGCCCTAGGGTTGAGCCCCCTTATCACAGAAGAATCAAAGGGGGCTGAGAGTCGCTCAGAAATGAGTGTTTGCCTAGCATGTATGAGGTCCTGGGTTCCATCCCCAGCAACTGAAAGTAAAAAAAGAAGAAAAGACAAGAGGAAAGGAAAGACGCAGGCATGGTGGCGCATGCCTGTGATCCCCACACTCAGGAGGCTGAGGCAGGCAGATCACTTTTGAGACTGAGGCCAGCATGGGCTGCGTAGTGGTGGAAAGAAAAGGCTCTGCAACCCAAGCAGGCCAGGTGGGGAGGAGAAGACTCGGGGTTCTATTTCTACCCACTTTTGCCCCAAACAGTGCAGTGTGACAATCACATTGTTCAAGGAAATGGAGAAGCGATGGGCTTTCTCTGTGTAGACCCAGCTAGTAAATCTTTTTTGGCTTTTTGGGAACAAGCCATTTCCCACTCTGCACCTCTGGAAGGTAGCCCAAGGCTCAGGGCCGCTATGCAAATGAGTGGGTGTGGCCCTGCACTCACAACTGCACTCACTACTGCCCTGCAAATTTCTTCTCATTTCACAGGTCATAATATAGTGATCAATTTTTTTTTTTTTTTGCCCTTTTGACACAGCGTCTCACTATGCAGCTCAGGCTGGCCTTGAGCTTACTTTGTAGCCCAGGCTAGTCTTGAACTCGCAACAATCCTCCTGCCTCAGCCTCCTGAGTGCTGGGATTAAAGATAGACACCACCATGTCTGGCCCTCAATTATTTTTAAAACTGTTTGAAAATGTGAATCATTTTTAGCGTGCAGGCCTTATAGTACATGGCAGAGGTTTGCAATTGGGCCACGGGCCATAGTTGGCCATCCCTAGAATACTTTTGTATTTAAAAAAATTTTTTTAAATATCTTTTATTTATTTGGTACAGGGTCTTGTTATGGAGCTCAGACTCATAGTGATCCTCCTGTCTCAGCCTCCCCAGAGCTGGGATTACAGGCGTGCGCCACCACATCCAGGGTTCCTGGGTTGGCACGGTGCACCCAGGGGCGGGACTGGGGTGACACGAGGTACCAGGGACCAGGTGTGCACTTAGGTCGCCACTCCCTGGCCCCTATGCTTTTGTATTTAAACACAAAGTCAAATAGAAAACAATACACTATTTGTTTTGCCTCAAATCTCAGATTAAAAATCAGTGCAAGAGGGGCCCGGAGAAATAGCTCAGCGGCCTAAGGACCTGCATGGGAAGTACAAGGTCCGAGTTCGATCCTTGGTACTGCCAAATTTAAGCGAGTTTATTTGTAGTGAATATTACAGTGTCACAGAGCTACTTCCTGTGGGCAATTGGACAGTTCCACTTTGTGTCAGGAGATGAACTGACAAATGATGCCTACCCCAACTCAGTCATTGCAACTTTAGGAATTTTTACCAAACAAATCATCCCAGGAGATGACAGAAGTCATATGCAAAAGTCATCCTTGAGTCACTTTTCCCTGCTAGAAATAAATGAACAAATAAAATAGAAACCACAACATTGTAGCTATCTCAAGTGGGGCTGAATAGATTCTGGTAAAATACCGTGAAGCTATTTATAGGCTCCCGGCGGTAGGGAGGTGGAGGAGAAAAGATGTGTAGCAGGAAACAAATCTAAAGGTCTGTGTCCGTGTTGTTTCCCCAGCGCTGCCTGGGAGGAATGTGAGCTGGGTTAGGGCGGCAGAGCCGAGCCCTCCGAGGTCGGGGTTAAGGAAGAGGGCAGCCCGGCTGCGGGGAGCTGGATGGAGCAGGCAGCTGGGGCTGGGGTGTTCTCTTTCCCCTGGGTCAAGGGGTGTTTTATTTGGAATAAGGTTTTTTTTTTTTTTTTTGGTTCCTCGAATGCCTTCAGGACCCTTTTGGCCAGCTGGAGAGTTGTGAGTTTCGAACTCCAGCAACCTGAGGCTGACAGCTTTGCGGAAGCAGCCACTTAAAGGACTGAGCTAGAGCCAGGCTCCCCAAGGGGTGTTTTATTTGGTTTTGACTTTTTAAAATAATTTTATTGAGGGGCCTGGGAGATGGTTCAGTGGAATAAGTGCTTCCCTGGCAAGCACAAGGGCCTGAGTTCAATCCCCAGTTCCAGAAAAAAAAAATAAAAATACTACTAGTACAAATCTTTCTTCTCAAAATAATTTTATTGAGAAACAAATAGCAATGAGAGAGTTTCAAAACCGATTAGTAGGACAGTTTCAATAATTAATACATTGCATATTGTTGTCTTCATAGTGGTTATTCATAGTACAAAATGCAGACATGATATCCTGTCCAAAAGCTATTAGTACAATTCTTTCTATTCATTGAATTAAGAGACAGTAGCTGTATATCTAGCCTAACTATTTTGTATACACAGATACAAAATGGTCCTTCATTTGTATCCCCTTTTTTTGTTTAGTTTTGTCAGAGATGGGAATTCCATCGCCACTTAAATATTATAGGTATGTGAACACAGCAAAATATTCCAACATAGTCCAGTAGTCCATAATAGTAGTGGGTTATCCATAGGACTGGCATTGTCAGAAGTTGTTGACTTGAGCCCTTTACAGTTCAGCATATTAATATGGCTTTACTTTTTTTTTTTTTTTTTTGCAGAACCAGGGATTGAACTCAGGCCCTTGCGCTTGCCAGGGAAGCGCTTATTCCACTGAGCCATCTCCCCGGCCCCACTGGCTTTACTTTTTATACTTTGTTTTTATACTTTTCTGCTCAGTGGTTAAGACCAAGATTAAAGCAAGACCTCTATAACTTTTGGGCTGTGAGATGGCTCAGTGGTCTAAAGCACCTACTTAGAACAAGCTTAGCAAAGCACAGAGACCGCGGTTCGATCCCCCAGCACCACATGCCAGCCAGCCCCGCCCCCTGGTGGGCTGAGCTGGCCACACACACACACACACACACACACATAAATAAAAATAAATAAATATATGCTTTAAAAAAAAAAAAGAAATGTAACTTTTGTATCTGATAAATTCAGTCAGATCCCCTCAGGATTTAGCCAGCAACCCTGTACCGCGGTTTGTAGATCCTTTGTCAGTGTCAGCTGTGTGGATGAGTCACCGCCATTG